TTGTCCTGTAAAATTTCCTACAGTGTGGAGTTTGCTGATTCATCCCCACAGTGTTGCTTAACTTTTTCCCCTGTCCTATGCATTTTCTATAAATTGATGCTTAGCTACAAAAACTTTGCAGATTTTTTTTTGGTAAATACTTCATAGGTGTGGTTTATTCTTCCAGCAGGAGATGCCTGATGTGGCATGGGGGGATTCTTTATGTGAGTTCAGTAGCACTCTTCAGTTGTGACTGATTAGATTTTGGTTTTTGTTTTTATTTTTAGTACCGGGGATCGAACCCAGGACCTTCCACTTGCAGGGCAGGCGGCAGAACCACTGAGCTAAATCCTCAGCTTGACTGATTAGATTTTAATGTTTGGTATAATTTATGAATGAACGATTTAAACAGCCTTGATACATTTAACCATAGCTTGTACATTTCTTGCTAGACCTGGGTCATTGGTTTTTCAAGGATCCCTGGTTCCTATTTAGGAAAAAATTGGCATTTCAAGACCACAATCTGGCCCTGTGGATTGCTCATTGGTACTAGGTATCATTGTACCTAAGGTTTTTTTTAATAGACACCAGTATAAATTCTGAAGAATAATTCTTCAAGAGTTTATCATGATACTTCCAACACAAAATCAGGACTATAAATGGAGCTAGTATTTAACATCTTTTATCTTGCATTATCTAACACTTAGAATTCCACCTCAGAATGGTAGAATCAGAGTATCACATAATTATTCCATTTCTTTGTCTCATATTAGACTCAAGAGTTGGGCCGGGGATTTAGCTCAGTGGTTTCGCCGCCTGCTGCGCAAGCGCAAGGACCCAAGTTCAATTCCTGGTACCAAAAAAAAAAAAGAGTAGACTCAAGAGTCACAGAACACTAAGACCAATGCCCCCACCCTCAGTATACTTACTGAAAAATGTTAAATTTTTATTTGACTTTTTTTAATTCTTAGGGTTTATCCTATTAGGAATGTACAATTAAAATTACTATACACAGCTCTTCCTCTCTGTTTGAGGCCACCAACTTGATACATAACTAGGTTCATGTATTTCTTTCTTTTTTCTTTTGTTTTTTGGAGGAGAGGGGATGACTTTTGTGATATCATGATGTAAGAAGAAAAACATATTTGATCTCTGCCTCAGATTCTGACACAGAGCTTCTCATCTCCTCATGGGGGGTATGCGCTAGGAGAATCTTTAGTTCTAATATGTGGTCTTTGGCCCCTGGTTCCTGCCTCACCTAAAATCTTTGAAATTTTCTAAATGGGTGGAGGAGCTCCAAAATCCCCTGCTATTTCCTGGGTAATGGAAGCCTCTTATTCTAAAGAGCTTCCCATTGGTGAGCTGACAGCCTCCGGAAGGGGACTGGTTGCCAGGGGAACCAACCACATGTTAGCTCCATCCTCAACCCCAGGATGTAGAGAAGGGCTGAAGATTGAGTTGCTCACCAATGGCCAATGCTGCAATCAATTTTGCCTCCACAATGAAGACTCCACAATGGCCTAGGAGAGCAGGATCTGGGGGCTGCAGAATTCTGAGCACCAGGAAGGTACAGATGCCTGTTCCCCTCCCCACCTGCCTTGAGCTCTCCCTCTTCCATCAGGCTCCCATCTGTATCCTTAAGATCCTGTAGAATAAATACAGGTAAAGTGTTTCCCCGAGGTCTTTGAGCCTCCATAGAAAACCAATCAACACCAAAGAGAGGATCTTGAGAACTTCCAATTTATAGCTTGCTGATCCAAAGCACAGCGGGGAATCTGGACTAGTAGGGGCAGCTCTATGGACCTGAGCCCTCCACCCACCAGGTCTGGTGCTGGCTGCAGGTAGATGTCACTGGGACTGAGTTTTATTGTAGGACACACAGCTGGGGTCCAGTGGAGAATTGCTGGATATGGCGGGGGGGGGGGGTCATCACATTTCGGAGACCAGACAAGTATTCTATAGTGAGTATTGAGCACAAAAAGAGGAAAATGGGTTTTTTCTGACCTTAAATGGCCTCTTATTCATGCTCTACTATTTCTTTTGTACATCTACACTCTAAAAAGTCCTGAATGGCTGCCTCAGCCTCCTGACAAGCTTTTGATAAGTTTCCCAGGCGAGACCTGAACTTGAGATCCTCTCGCCTCAGCCTCCTGAGTAGCTGGGATTACAGGTGTGCACACCACGCTGCACTCATTGCCTTTGACATTCCTGACTAAGGCGCTAGCTACTGTCTTCATGTCTGCCCCCACCCTGATCCGTGTTCTGCCTTACTCCTTCTCTGGCTCACTGCTGAGTCGCGACTCTGGTTGGAGTCGCCGGAGCGGGGGTGGCAGGAAGTAAATTGAGCGTCTCCTTTCCCTCCTCCCTTCAAGCCCTGACTGAGCTGGAAGCACAAGGTCTTATTGAAGAATGGTGGTGAGAATTGCTGAGGCTTGCATGGAGAGCCGCCCAGAAGGTGGCGCTGTTTCCCTGGGACGCCCTGGTCTGAGCTTGGTCACTAGTCCTTTATCCTCAGTGCATGCGTGCTCAGGATCAAAAACACCATCACCAGTGTCATCCTAACCTTGTCTCATCGGGAGCCCTTCCAAAATTACATTTTTGGGGGATGTCAGTGGCATCTCTGAAGTTATAATTTGAGCCTGGATTAAAAAGCGAAAATAGTCCTCAAGGCTGATCAGTTGCTGTGAAATTAACTGATTCTCCAAGACTTAAGCAGCTTTTTAAAAATAGCAATTTAGAAAAATTAAAAGACCTGTGTATTAAAATTGTGGCTCCAGGCATAAGAGCACTTATAAAGCATATGACCGATGCCTGTGATATCGACAGAGACGTGGTACGTACTTTTTGTGCAGTCAAAACACCGCACCTTCAATCCACAGGCAATTTCTCCCAGGCCACCTGCCATACTCAGGGCCAGAATGTCTATTATGTTGACTACATAAAGTGTGTTAACACGGTTTTAAAAACTTTTTTTTCTTTTTCATTAGTACACATTCGTAGCACCTAATGTCTACATTCCTTGTGGAATTGGTACCTGTACACAACACATCTTCATTCCTTTATTCATCCCTTACCCCTACCCTCCCTCCCTGCTTCCTCCAATGCCATGTTTATGACTTTATGGAAAAAAGAAAAAAAATTCACTCTAAAGAGGTAAAAGTTTTTCCTGATTCCATCATTTAAAATGGGAGGATTTATTGAGTTGTACACTGAGTGTTCTCCATTCCTCTAAATAACTTAATGATTATAACATCATTATGCATTATAGTACTGACTGGTAGTACAATACCGTGTGTTACAGTCCTGCACGTAGGTACGCTAACTGGCAATACATTACATTGTTATCTATGCGATAGGTAACATAATTGTTCCAGGTAACTGAGGTTCAGAGAAATTAAATAACCAGTCTAGCATCGTGTAGCCAGTAAAAGTTGGAACTTGGATTTAGACCTTGGTAGTCTGGTTCCAGATCTAGATTTCAACAATTTTATTAACAGTAGAATCTTCCTCCACTCCTCTGATTCCAATTCCCCAGAGATAATCACTATTCATATGTTGGTGTTTGTTCACATGGACTTTTTTTCTGTGGCCACACACACACAAATGAGCTCATGCTAAATATGTTATTGTGAGGGCCGGAGATTTAGCTCAGTGGTTTTGCCGCCTGCTGCGCAAGCGCAGGGACCAGAGTTCGATCCCCGGTACCAAAAAAAAAAAATGTTATTGTTTTGACTTGCACTTTTCACTTAGTATATCTGGGATCTCTTTCCCTATCAACAGGTGTGTTTTTACTTTATTCTTCATAGTATCTGCATAGAATGGTATAGTATAGCATAACTTATTTAATCAGCTCCTATCCAAGGATGTTATGAGTTGGCTCTTGCAAATTTTGATAAACATGCCATACTTGTTCTTGTTAATGTATTTGGGGGAAATATATTACCAGCATGGATTTTTTTTCACAGGACACAAATATCTGCGAAGACACTCATGTTTCATGGAGTATTGGGAAGTGACTCAGAATACTCCAAAAGATGTAGTAAGCGTACTCAGGTTAGCTTGTGATCTGATTCTTTTGTGGTACAAGGTTTCTCTCTTGTAGCAGGCTTCACCCTGAACCAGTGTCCTGCCCCAGACCCGCACACCGTCACCACGGCCTCAAACATCTCAACCTCTGGCACGTAAGAGCTAAAATACCAGGAACCAGTGAGGTCTGTGGGTCCACACTTTCCCCTGAGGCTCACTTTGTTGATTCCTAAGTTTCTGGCTGAGGAGACCCATCTCCTCCAGTGGAGACACCACACACCTCCTGGTGAGAAGGCAACGGGATCCAGATCCAGGAAAAATTGGCTTGAGGATTTGATTGGGAGACAGGAGATGTTCATTGCCAGGTATTGACAGCAAGGTAAATGTGGACTCAGAAAATGCAAACTTGTGTGTTTCCCTGAAAGGCAGGGTCAAGTCTTTAGGTATTTTTGATGACTTTTTCTTGGTATCAGCCAGAATTTTCTAGACTGAAACCCCACCAAAGACAAGACCACCATGAAGCCTGGCTTGGAAGCATAGACACAGGAGGTCACCGTGGGCAGAGCAAGGGGCTGGGAGAAATCCACCAGAGATTCCCAAGGGAAGGAAGCTCTGCAGGAAGAGAGGCAAGGGCACGTGAGAGGAGAAGACAGATAAGTTTCTGGACCCTGGGGAGGCTTCCCTAAGGACGGAGATTTTATAGTAACAGCTTTCTTTCAAAATGTTTCGACGCTTGTCTATTTTTACCTGTACGCAAACTGGAAATGGTTTGTCCCTTTACTGATGTAAATGGGCTGGGTATAATTCCCGGACACGAGTCCTTTAATCATTGCACACTTTGCACACTTCGCTCCTTATCTGTGGCTTGTCTTATCCCGTGATTCCTGGTGTCTTCTTTTTGTGTTCCACGCTCACAGAGTCAAACCTGTTACATTGTTTACCTTTATGCTTTCATGCTTCTGATGTCTTTTTCTGAAGTTATAAGAACATTTAGATTTTTGTCTAAACATTTTATTGTTTGGCTACTCACACACATTTAGCTTTATAACCCATCTGGGATTCATGTTTGTGTAAAATATAAGGCAGGAATGTAACTGTGTTTGTCCCCCGAATGGACAGACAGCTCTGTCAGCCACATTAACCATTCTGATCTCCGTCCCCTGCTCTGTCACGCGTCACCTATTCACAGGTCTGTTCCTCGCCTCTGCCCACCTCCATTCTAGGATGACACAGGGATTATTACTGCTTAGCGTAAGTCTGGTTTCTGTGGCCTTGTTCCCCAAATTTGTCTTGGCAGTTTGGTTTGATTTTTTTGCATAACAAACTATCCCAAGACCTAATAGCTTGAAACAACCACTGAAAAGTAGGACAGAGGAGTTAAAGGCTAACATCTTTACATAGCGTATCAACTGCATCCCACTCTGCAGATTTGGGGGTGCTGCTCACAGGGGACTCAAACCTGCTGGGGCCCCAAGGGCCAAGGCAACTCCCCTCCCTCCCCTTCCTCAGGCAGCTCCCTATGGGGAGCCTGGTTGCATGGTGCTTGGACACTGAGGTAGGAAGAGATGCAAGTTCCTAAGCCCACAGCTCTGCAAAGGGGTTTCCGGCCCTTTGGGGGCAGCATGGCAGCCCTGTCCCTGGGGCAGGCACAGGGAGGAAAGGAGGGCCCCAAGTCCTCTTACCAGGGCCACTGGTTGCTGGGGAATCTCTCCCTGTAAATGTCTAAGCTGCGTCCCCTTGGGCCCCCAGAGATTTTGTCTCACAAAATGTCACACACCCCGCATCCTCTCCTAGACCCTGTGTCGTCATTATTCACACATCTACCCACACACATGCAGGTCCTCAGTGCACTGGGCCCAGAAGCATGGTGCTTGCCCCTTCAGGGCCTGGGATCCACCATTTACTAGCTGTGCTACCTAGCCTTTCTGTGCCTCTGTTTCTCCATCTGTAAAATGGAGAAAGTACTTCGCTTGCAGGCATGTTCAAGCCATGCCTAAGTCTGAGTCTGGCCCATGCTCTCGCTCCATCCTGTTGGCTTCCTAGAATTAATCTCTGTGTCCTCAGCCCTGGGCCAGGCCCCCGCCTATCAGAGGTACCTTGAACACTGATCATTCAGCCCAGGAGCACAGAGGAGTCTTTAGGGTTTTGACACCCTGGCATGGCTCTCAGTCCTGCCAGAGACCCAACTGGTAAAGACAAAGATGGGACCCCATGTAGGCCAAGAGCATGGGCAGTGGAGAGTCATGAAGGACCAGAGGCTGGGGAGGTCAGGGCAGTCACTGGCCTCTAGCAGTCAGCTCTGGACTGCAGGAAGAGGGGACCCCAGCAGCACAGGGTGGAGACCACAGGAGCCAGGGTGGCTGTCAGAGCATCCCACACCCTCCCTGTGCCCACCTCCCCCAGCCCAAGCGCCAGGCCCTAAATGCAGGTACAGTCTGTGTCTCCATGGAGTCCAAGGCTGGGGTAAGAACCTCATCCTGACATGAGGACCCTGGAAGGTGAATGGCGGCAGCAAGGATGTCACGGGCAGAGGTGACAGGAGCTTCCTGCCCACTGGGCCTGGAGTCCCTGAGTTGAGCTCTGCCACTTCTGGGAAGCACGGTTAAGGGACCCCGTCCCCAGCAGAGCCTTGAGCTGGGCAGAGCATCCTCGAGCCCGCGCTGTGTAGCAGGGGTGCAGGTGGCGGAGCGGAGGGAGCTGTGTACACAGCCACCGGGAGGGAAGCTCCCTGCCCACCCTGCCTGGCCAGAGCTCCAGGAGACTCCCGGGTGGCCGGCAGCACCCATGGTCCAGCCTTCCTCCTGGCAGGTTCAAGAGAATCTGTGACTGATGAGTCAGAACCAGGAGACCAGGCAGGAGAGGAGCTGGGGTGAGGCCGAACCCCAGCCTGGCTTCAAGGCCTCAGAGGCAGCAACAGAGGGACTTGCACAACCTGCCAGGCGCTCATGCCCTGGCCAGGAAGAAAGTGACAGCCACTGAGGGAGGGGAGAAAGGGCCCCTCTTCCACTGGACTCTGACCTGGTAGCATCTTCCTAGATCTGAGGGGCCAAGCAGGGCCCAGAAACCCCTCCACTGTGCCCAGGGCTCTCCCTCCCCTGGCTCCGTCCTCTCTCCCTGCAGGAGGACTCGGACCCTGGCCAGCCTGGCCTCTTCTGACAGAGTCACCTCACTGCAGGCAGAATAGCTTTGTACCCGCTGCCCAGTGAACTCCACCCTCAGTTCCTAGGCTCTCTGTCAAGGGTGGCCAACTCGGAGGGCTGGGGCCTGTGTCCAGTGATGCTGGCATATTCCACGGACAGGAGGGTGTCAGGCATGGGCTTTGAGGTGGCGTGGCTGTTGGACCAGATGGGGTCCTTGGCACCAGAGTGGTTTAGGTGAATGATGGAGGCATAGTGGATGGTCCCCGAGTCCTGGTCAGAGATGACCGGCTGATCAAAGCCCTGGGAATCAAAGCAGACAGACAGATGTCCACTGCACAGGTCACAGCTGCGTTGCTCAGCGGCACTCAGGATGTGAGGCAGGAAAGGGCCCTGCACACCTCTGGGAATGGGGGTCTGGAAAAAGCTGCTTTCACTGTCAGGGAGCATGTCTAAGAAGGCTGGGCAGCCAGCAACACCGGCAGCCCAGAGCTTGTTCCAAATCCAGAAGAAGAGCCAGCCCAGAGCTGTAGAATCACAGAAAGGGGCCCCAGAAAGCCCTGACTAACAAGCTTTCTGCATCAATTCTGCGCACACCCAAGTTTGAGGAGCACTGAGCTGAAGAGCGCTCGCTAGGGATGGTATTGTAGAATTGATGCAGGCCTCACATAGGGGTTGGACCACAGGACCTCAGGCCCTTCCTGTCCTGTGATCTGTGACTCCAAGGGTCTCGGAACTTTAGACAGGACCCAGCCAAGGAAACCACTGAGTCCCTGCCAAGAGGGACCTAGGGGTCATGCTGTTGGCTGAGTGTTTGCCCCGAGCGATTAGCCAACTTCTCCCTCAGACTGGTATTGGGAAATATGGGAAAGGAACTGCATAGTTAGGGCCACGGGGCAGCAGGGACACAAGCAGTCACGAGTATGTGTCAAGATTTGGGGGAAATACAAACTGCAAGTGGGTGCGGGCTGGGGAACTGAAACGGGGCCGGGAACACATGCTGCGGTTCCGTGTCCCGAGAAGGGCTGTCACTACTCACAGTGGTCCCCTTCTGGGCTGGCAGATCCTCGGAGATGTGGTGGGAGTCGCTCTTACCTGTGAGGAAAGAGTCAAGTTTAGGGATGGGCCGTCCTTACATCTTTCCACTTACTCATCCTATGCATTTGCCACTCTGTATCCTTTGACCCACAACTGGCCTTTTCTTTCCTTCACACAGAGGAAGACAAAATTTTAAAAATGCCATTAAAACGCCATTAACTGGAAAAGTCTTTACATAAACTCGTCCACAGGTCCTGAACCATAAAGACGGCTTTGAAGTCTGGCCCCGGGTGGGTCCCTGCACACCTAGCTGTAGTCAAGTGGGTGTGCAGGTAGCTGGCTTTCAGCAAGGTGACTTCGGGCCTCTGCTGGGGATCACAGCCACCTGGACGTGTCCCCTCTGGGGCCCTCGCTGGTAAAATGAGCATGATAAACCTTGTCCCGTGACTGAGCACTTGAGGCCACCCAGGCTCACCTTTCCTGGCTCTTCCTCGGGCTTTCCTGAGGTACAGGGCTGTGAGCACACCAAGGCCCAGCAGCAGCAGGACAGCCACCACCACACCAGCCACGATCGCCTTCCACCTCCAGTCACCTGGAGGACTTGGGGACAAGAAGTGGGAGGGGAGGAGTCACCACCTGCGGTCACACAGGGCTTCCTGCCTCTCCCGGGGTCCCCAGGAGGTGGCAGCCACTTGTGCCAGGGCTGGTCTCTTTCCCTTCCCCCTTCTGACTTCAGTCTCTAGTTTTCCTTGCACCCCTCTTGGAGGCTCTGTACCTTCCTGGCCTCCACCTTCAACCAGCTGCTCCTCCCCAGCCCTTCCCCGTGACATTCAGGGCCCTCAGGGCACATTTCAAGAGGTCCTGCTTAGGGCTGGGTGTGGATCACGCCTGTGATCCCAGCACTCTGGGAGGCTGAGGGTGGAGGATCAAGCTCAGCCTGGGCAATTTAATAAAAATTTTTAAAGGCTGAGATGTAGCTCAGTGCTAAGGTATTCGATTCAATCCCCAGTACTGCAAAGAAAGAAGAGTGTCTCAAGTCAAAGGAAAGACACAAAAGCAGACACTCTGTGCCCTCGAAGACCCCGAAGGAAGGTGTCTGGGTGGCAGGCCCAGAAGGAAGAGGGATGGTTCCAGCACTATTTCTCAGCTCAGCAGATCACCACCACCTAGTTTCTGACGTTTTTGTTTGTTTGGTTTAGTTTGGTTTGGTTTTTTGAGACAAGGTCTTGCTATGTAGTCCAGGTTGGCCTTGAACTCACTATGTAGTCTGGACTGTACTGATCCTCCGGCCTCAGCCTCCTGGGAGCTGGGGTTACGGGCATGTGCCACCATGCCCAGCTTTGTGGTTTTATCTCTTGACAAGCAATGGTTCACAAGAGCCTAGGGTTCAAGGTCTGAGGGGATGGTGGGGAGAGAGAGGGAGGGTCAGACAAAGCCCGAGAGCCCGGAGAAATCAGGCAGAGGTGGGAAGAAATCAGGCTGTGGGTTTAGTAACTACAGCCCATGCCCTTACCTAGACCACTGTGGCATGGCATTGTGCCTGCCCTGGGCCGGGTCACCCAAATCCATATTCTTTTTTTTTGGTACTGGGGATCGAACTCAGGACCTTGAGCTTGCAAGGCAGGCACAGTGCCACTGAGCTAGATCCCTGGCCCACACTCTTGATCCTCACAGCAACTGGGAAGATAGGGCTCATGAGGTGGGCTTCTGTGTCCCCCAAAGTCTGGAGGCATTTGGGGGGCACATTTGGCAGGGGGAGGTTTGTTTTCCTGACATCCAATGTGTAAAGGTCAAGCACTGTGCCCAACATCTGACAATGCTGAGTAGTGTCCTGGGACAAAGAAACCCGCTGGCTCCTGATGTCAATGGGTGGAGAGTGACAAACCCTGATGTAAGAGTAGGAGGCTACTGCTCCCCTTTTGCAGCTGAGAAAACTGAGGCCAAGAAAACTGGCCTGAGGTGATCCGTCTGACCCTACTCCATCCGCTGAGAGCTGGGTATCTGCCAGACCAGAGTTAGGGCATCAGCACAATCGGAGAGATGGGGAGAGCTGCAGGGGAGGGGCTGGCAGTACCTGTCAGTCACAGGGCTGCAGCCAGCAGCTGGGAGTGTGACCCTCGTGGTCCTCTGAACACTACTGCTGGTGGAAGGGGCTGGAGCTGTAAGAGATAACGCTAAGCAGGTGCCCACCTGTTCCCCCACACCCTAGGGCTCCCACCACCAGCCCTGGGTGACAGGAGCCCACTCCTGGCCATGGAGGGCACTGTGGACTGGGCACTGAGCCCAGACGTGGACAAAGAAGGACCTAAATGGCCTGGCAGGCTCAGCACCCAGGAGGACCTGGGAGATGCGCTATGAGCTCTGAACATCACGGGTAAATGCAGGGAACCAGGCAGCTCTCAGAAGGAATCCACAGGGGCCTCGGGGTTGGAGGGACCCCAGGCTTGCCATTCCAAAGCTTAAAGGCTCCAGGGACAGGTCCCCAGTGCCTGAGGCTGCCGCACCCCGAGTCTCAGTTCTGCCTGGCCGTCCAGCTGTCCACATTTCTCCCCACCCCCAGGTGCCCTGTGGTCCCCTCTCTGTCCAATGGGCCCCATAGTCCTTGGAGGAAGGTTGGGTTCAGGGTGAGGGAGCCCAGGAATGGGCCTAAGAGCTTTCTAAGCAGATGAAGGGGGCCTGTTGGCAGCCACACAAGTGTCAGACACCTGTGATGTGGAAGAATGGACGGGAACCGGCAGACCAGTTCTAGGGCTGGTTCTGTGCCCCAGCCTGTCTTCGGCCAGGAGAGGGCTGGAGGGAAGGATTTCTAGGCCCCCCCCCCCCAGCTCTGGTACTGCCAATTCAGGAAGGCTGAGACCCATGTATAAGACAGAGGAAAACTCACCTTTAGACACCATCAGGCGCACTGTTTTGAGAATGTGGATCTGCTGATCTTCATAGAGTCCACACACATAGACTCCTGAGTCCTGTACACTGAGCCCAATCATGGTGACCACAAAGCTGTTAGACCTAGGATCATCCTGGATGAAATATCGTGGATCCCAAATCTGGAGACTGGTCACTAATACTTTACAAATATTTGCTGACATCTTCCGACACCAGATTTTTGCCGTTGATCTTCTGTGCAGGCTGTACCCGCACCCCACAGTGAGCGCCTCGTCCTCCAGTCTCCACAACACTGTGTCCTGGGCCCAGGAGCCTGGGAATACACGCTCAGGTCAGGGAGCCCCCAACTTCCATGCAGAGCTAGGAGGTAGGGCCTCCTGCTTTGGGGAGCAACCGCCACTGTGGCAACACTCGGGATGTACCCCAGAACCAGCAGTGGGGTTCCCAGCCTGCCTTCCACATAGCCCCTCACTCCCATGCGCCATCTCCCCCACTCACCCTCTGCTCCCCTCCTTTCCCTGACCCCATCCCGTCCCTGCTCCTCACCGGAGGCCAGGAGCACCAGCAGCAAGGGGGTCACCAGGCCTGTGGCCTCCCAGGCCATGGGTCCTCTTCCAAAGCCCCAAGAAAAGGGAGCAGGACCTGGATGGGATTTGGCCCAGCCACCCCAGGCCTTCAGGATGTGTTGCCTAGGAGAGCAGAGGCCTCCACAGACGAGCAGAAGTGGAGGATGGAGAGGCCTCGGCTGCAAGCCCCACCTCTGGATCTGCGGAGGCCTCTGCCTGGGACTTAAAATCCCCTTGCCGCTCCTTCCTCCTCTTGGTGTGTGAGGGGAAGCCCAGAAAGTGGAGGAAACCGTGGTAAAACCTATTTCTCCTCCTACGCCCCAGGCTACCACTTCCCCAGCTCAGAGCTCCTCCTCCACACCCACCCTGAGCACGGGTGACAGAGCTAGGGGACTAGGAGATCTGACAAGGACCTGAGCCCCACTGGTGCCCAGCGGGCAGAGGCCTGGTGTCCAGAACAGTTCCCCAGGGACCGGAGGGGACAAGGTGAAAGGAGATGGAGAGTCGTCTCCAGGAAGGGTCCTAGGGAAGAGAGCCACAGTGAGGAAGGAGACAGAAAGCCAGGGACAGAGAGAGGGACAGCGGAGGAGGGAACGAGAAGAGGCGCTGCACCTGCTCAGTTTCCCCGCCCCCAGTGGCCAGGCTCCCTCTGTGAGCATCCATGGAAAGGCTGCAGTAATCACGCCCATGTTTAAAATAATTAGGTGATGGGCCAGGGATTTAACTCGATGGCACCACACCTGCCTCGCAAATGCAAAGTCCTGAGTTTGATCCCCAGTACCAATAAAATTAAGTGAGTGTTGCACTTAGGGTTTGCAAGGGAATAGATTTAATATAGGACACGCAATTTATAGGATTATTTTATAATATTCACCCAAAAAAATCAAATGCAGAGGAGTGCAAGAGATCTGTCTACATGCTAGAGACTGGAAGAATCCAGCCAGGGCCCTGGATCCCAGGGCAGCACCCCCCACAAATCCAGCCAGAGGCCTAGGGCCCACAGCAATGTCTCATGCAAGTCTGTCTCGAGGGTCTGCACCAGGAAGGCCCAAGGGCCAGTGGTGGAAGCTAGAAAGTCTGGGCTGGCAGGGAGAAGGGTCTATGCCACCAGGCTGAGGGATCTGCACTGGAGCCAGGAAGCGATGCTCAAGGTGAAGACCAGAGCTCTCCTGAGAACAGCAGCCATTCCGGGCGACAGTGAGGAACCAAGCTCCTCTGATGATGAGAACAGCTGAATTCGTATCAGGGAAACCAGCTTCATCAAGATTCTCCAGGAAAATCAACAGCATACAATACACCACACACACACACACACACACCCAGTTCTCCTTTTAAGCAATAATCCTCAGGTGGGTCTTCCACGCCCTGTCCACGCTGACTCAGTTCACCTGGGCATTCCAAGTCGACCATTAGTTAATCTGCCACAGGGAGGTATGGAGAATCAGTGCCACAGGCTGTTCATACTGACAGATGAACAACTAAAACAACGGAAAAAAAAAAAACCCCGTAGAAATATATACAGTAGCTGGGCATGAAGGAGCACACCTATAACCCCAGCAGTCTGGGAGACCAAGCCTGGAGGATTCCAAGTTTGAGCCCAGTCTGGGCAACTTAGTAACTTAATGAGACCCAGTCTCAAACTAAAAAGGGGCTGGGGGTGTAATTCAGTTCGATGGCCCTAGGTCCGACCCCCAGCCTTCCCCTCACCAAAACTCATCTTCATCCTCCTCTAGATGAGGAGGTGGGATCAGAGAGGGACAGGGACTTGTGACAGTCAAGCTGAAGTCGGGCTGTGTCAGGCTTTGAACCCAGGCCTCTATTTCAGTGAATGCTATTTCAGTTCCAGAGGGACCCCAGCTTCCGTGTAGTGAGGAGAAGGGGAAAAGAGGACACAGAAACAGGGTCCTCGGGTCTCAAATGCAGAAGGGGAGAGGCAGCCACATGGAACAGCAGTCAGGGGACAGTAACGATGGCACTGACGCGTCACTGTGCTCATGTCTTTTCATTGTCTCCTGGAAATAATCTGAGAGGTAGGAATCATGGGCCCCTTGGACAAGAGAGGAAAATGAGGCCCAGGTAGGGTAGTGACTTGCTCAGTGACAAGGGCATCTCTGGGCCCCGTCCCTGACTCCTCCAGTGCTCTTCCCACCGGGCGCCTGGCTGTCCATGAGATGGTGCCATCCGGGCCACCAAAGGCGCTGTGAGGGCTCACAGGGGGGCTGATGCCCCCGCTGAGGCAGGCCCTCCTGCATAGGGAGGAAGTGGATGTCCCTGTGCCTGTGTCTCTCCGTCCAGGGACCAAGGCTGTCAGGGGCACAGCCAGAGTCTTTCCTCTACTGCCCTCTCCTGGACACAGGGAAGAGGGCATCCTCCCTGCTGCCCCCCAAGTTTGCCGCCTGCCCCACCCAGCAGGGCCCACGTCAGCTGCCCACCAAGGCCCATGCAGTGTCACCCTCCTGACCATGATGCTTGCCATCCCACCCTGAGGTCCTTGGCCCAGGGCTGAGGGCAGAGATGTCACGCTGTCCCCAGGTGCTGTCCCCAGGTACAACCCCGGTCACTGCAGGCTGACGGCCGCCCCTCTCTGGAGAGGAATCTGGTCAGCACCCTGTAGCCTCTCCTGCTGGACTCTGGCCGGCGGTCTGGATGGTAGAGGTTGAGTCTGAGCCAGAAGGGGCAGGCAGGTGCAGACTGAAGGGCCACTGGACCCTGGCCTGAAGCTGCTGGGGTCCCATTTCCTCCAGACTGTGGTCAGCTCCGAGTTGTCACTGTGTCCCAAGTGGGTCTTCTCTCCCAGGGGGCAGTGAATGGTGGGAGGTAACGGGCAACCCACCCTTTCTCTGAGCCAAGCTTGGCCTCCCCACCAGTGTCTATGCGCCAAGCGAGGTACCCTGCCAGAGGCTGCTGGGCCCCCAGTACCCTGAGGAGCTCAGACCTGGCACCAGAGCACAGGAACACTGGGGAGGAGAGCCCCAATGCCAGCCACCACAGAGGCAGGGTGGTGGTCGGTGGCAGCAGGGAGCGAGGGCCCTTCAGGCTTCCAGGATGGAGCAACCAGCAGATGTGCCAGGCAGGGCGTTGGCTGCCCCTGGGGCTGTCCCCTCCCCTCTGGCCAGTCCCTGGTGCTCAGTCCTCTCTGAAGCCTCCTGGGTCTCCCTGAGAAGCTCCCAGCATTGTTAAGTGGTCTCAAACCAAGCGGGCTTCAACAGGGGCTCTGGTCTTCTCGCTGGGGGTGTCCGGGGTCTGGCAGAATAGCTGCCCAGGCTGTAGGCTATGAGGAGGCAGGAGAGACAGAGGTGGGCCCCACCCCGCCCCTCGCTGGCTCTGCCTCAGTGCCCCCAGGACATCCTGCTTGGCCACCTCCTCCCATGCCCGGTCCCTCTGGCTCCTCTGCTGGGCAGGCCCAGAGACACCCCCCACGGGGACCCGGGTCACAGGGCGGTCCTACTCACTTCCCATGTGTTTCTTCTTCCAGAGTCTGTAGGCCACGGCCAGCATGACGGGCACGGGGAGCAGGGTCAGCAGCACCACCAGCGCTGTGAGGTGGGGCTCCTGCAGCCTGCGGCAGGGACAGAGGTGAGTGCCAGGCCCCAGCCGAACAGTGTGACCCCCGCTCCGCAGTGCCCTAGGCCTGTCCATCTGCAGGACAAGGACCCTGAAGACCCCACTGCAAATGGAGAGATTCTGGTCTCCTCCGTGCGCGAGGACATCGCCAGCCTGCTTTGCGCTCTGTGGTGGACGCTGCAGGTGCCACTGGCACCACCGCCTGCAGCACTGCCACACGACAGGGCGCCCACACGCGCACTCCCACATGGGTGGACACCCACTGGTGAAACTGGGTGGGGGCTTTCCCTGTCACCGCAGCCCTCCGAGCCACCTGTGGCAGGCAGGGGTTGGCTCCTCTGTCCCAGAGCCCTTCTCCCTCGGGGATTCAAGGGCCGGCTGTGGTGAATGGCTCCCTGCACTGGCCACACCCACGCTCTCTCTAGCGAGCCAGATAAGACGTCAGTTCTCGTCCCAGAGTGGGCTTCTGGGGCACCCCAAGTTAGAGTGTCCCCATGTCCTACTTCCCACCCCTCTCCCCTCGGCCTTCCTTCAGGTCCCCCTACCTGCAGCCCTGCTAAGATCCCAGGGAGCAGAAGGGGGAGGACAGAGGGAGGTTGGGAGAGGCCAGGGGAGGTCAGGGGGAGTTCTGGGGAAGGTCAGATACCAGAGCTCCTCCTTGAGGTCTGTTCCAGCCCCAAGAGCGGGGGCCACGCCTGGAGCCATGTCCCCCAGCAGGTACCTGGTGGAGGGCAGTTGGTCTCGGCACGTTCTCGAGGTGGGAAAGCTGCTGCTGGGCCTGGTGGAGATGGACCCTGGACTGTTGGTATCACTGGGAGACACAGTCACTGGCTGGGGCCCCATGGTCCTCCTGGGCCCCATGGCGGCGGTGATACCAGTGAGGCTGGAGCCTGTCACAGAGGTTGGCCTGGGGATCCCCAAGGTAGCTGAAGGCCTGGGGCTGGCCCAGACGAGGGGCCCAGGTGTGAATGGAGCCACACCAGAGGTGAAGGGGGCATCAGGGCCTGAGGTAAGGGCTGGGCCTGTTGTGAAGACAGTTCTACTCTTGAGGTCCTCGTCAGCCAGGTGTGTGAGGGGGTCGGTCCTCTCAGTCATGGCGCCTGAGGGGCCAGAGAGGGAGGGAAGTCGGCCAGTCAGCCCCATGGGGTCTACATGGGGCGGGGGGGGGGGACATCTTCCTTGACCTTGGTCCTCAGCTTCGGTTCTAGGACTTGAGGGACCAGGTGCAATATCAGGTAGGGAAGTGGAAGCAGAATAAAGAAGGGTGAGACTGTCACTTTCTCTTCAGCCTCCCCCTGCAGGACTCCTCCGAGCCAACCTATACATCCCAGAGATAAGGCCCTGACGAGGACAAACAGGCAGGAAGAAGTGAGGGAAAGCCCACCACTGCACATAGGCAGTGGTGCCCAGGTTAGGGCCCTGTGGCCTGGGATCCATCTGAAGAGGCCCAGAGGGCCAATCAGGCTGTGGCAAGTTCCAGCAGGAAGGGTCCCTATCACCTGATAAAAGAGGCTGGGGGGCAAAGGACCTGCAGGAATCCATCTTTCCAGAACCCTCTACCCCTCTTCAGGCAGCTTCCTGTCTTCTGCTTTTTCCTCCTTCCAAATAAAGTGTCTTCCTTTCTTCAACTCCATCCTCAAATTCATTACCGAGTTTAGATCCCGGCTAGCTGCTCGGCCCAGTGCTGCTCACCAACGACACAACAGGGAGACATCGAGGGTCCCAAATTCCAGAGAAAGCCAGAAAGCTGGGGTCAAACGCCTTCCACAGGGGGCTTCACAGCACACCCCTGGCCTGACCCTGGCCTGACCTCCGTCAACCCAGCTCTTTACCATCCCGTTGTCCTGAAGTCTGGAGTCTGGACGGTGGTGGAGAGAGGAGTTGGAGAAGCTGCAAGGACTCTGTCTGGGGTGGGAGGCTCTGAGACCTCCGTGGGAATCAAGACCATTGGACAGAGGCTGCTGCGCCTCGACACACCCTTTGCTAGGGGCCAGTGGCGGCTGTGCAGGGCAGCTGAACTCAAGCCATTTTGGGAAGGGGACAAGTGGAGCCAGAACAAGCAGCTTTGCTGAAGATGGGGATGGCAAGAGAGGCCGGAACAGCATTATATTCAGCAGTGAGGACAGCCCCAAAGACCCCTCCAAAGACCCCCACACTGGTGCCTTGGGAGCTGGCACCGGGACCTCCAGCCAGAATGGGCTCGAAAAGAGTTGGCAGAAAAGCACCGACAGCCAGCAGAGAGGACTGCACCACATTGCTGTGTCCCTCTCCCTCATTCCTAGTGTGAGGGACCCCAAAAGAGGAATCGCAGTTCCCCAGTGAAGGGGGCTCAGGCAGGCTCCGGGCTTAACCAACTGTCTTCCCCAGCTCAGGTGCCTGGACCTTAAAACCTGCTATGCAAGGTGGAGCCACAAAGCAATGGATTGCTGGAAGATTAATTTGAGACCAGGCTGAGGATTGATTTCCTAACAACTGCAAAGGTCTACGAAGTTGGAATCTTCCCGGAGTATCCCTAAGAGGTGGACAGTGTCATCTCACATAGCACAGTGGGAGAGATGATGAGGGAAAAACCAAACCGCCATGTGCTGTTGTCCCTACAGATGAAGACCTCGATGAAGTGGCTTGGGACTTCTTTCTGGGGTCAAATCAGAAGGGGAGGGCGGGGACTGAAATTGAACTTTCCATTTCAGAGAGGGCCTCTTCCATGGCTCAGACCCGTGGAACACTGTGGGTCAGCAGAGAGGGAAGAGTTGGTAATAAATGTCATGAAATTGGATGCTTTTCCAAGCTCCTCGCCCCTTCCTCTCTGATAACTATGGCGAACCTTGCATCTCAGGTTTTTGGTCCTTCTCTGTCTTTTTTCTATGCTCAAGGGAGAGTTTTATATCCCCTTAATTTTTTTTTTTTTTTTTTTGGTACCGGAGATCGAACTCGGGTCCTTCACTTGCGAAGCAGACAGTGAAACCACTGAGCTAAGCCCCTGGCCCGATCCCCTTGATTTTTAAAAACAGCTTTATGGAAACAATTCACATCCCATACCATACACCTACTAACAGTATAAAATCCAGTACTTTTTAGTACATGCGCAAAGTTGTACCACCATCACTACAGTGGATTTTAGAACATTTTCTTCATCCAAAAGAGAAACCCATGACTCAAACCCCTTTCCTTCCTGAGCCCCAAACAACCACTAATCCTTTCTCCAAGCCCTTGACTTGAGATGCTGCCTTTGAGCTGCTGAGAGACACCCACCAGAGCCGGGCCCTCTCTCACTGGGCTCCAGGCTGAGCTCAACTTCCCACTTCATTCTTCCACTTGAGTCTCAAGACACATTTGAAACTCAACCTGACAAAAGAGAGCTCTTGATTTTCCCCTCCAAACTTGCTCCTTTTTCAGGTCTAGTCTGCCCATAAACCTGCTGCTACTGCTGAACTCTCACTTCCCACTTGAGCAAATCCTGCCCTGCTCTGTGCCCAAAAGTCTGACAACCATGGCTTTGAGCCCAGCCACCTCTCCCTCCAGTGCCCATGTCCCGCCCCAAGCCACCGCCCCATCCAGCCAGACACCCCATGATCTCCCTGCCCCTGCTCTTAGGCTCCTCCTCTCCACAAGCAGCCATTACCACCTTTAAAAAGCAGCCACCAGGGCCGGGGATATAGCTCAGTGGTTCTGCCTCCTGCCTCGAAAGTGCAAGGTCCTGAGTTCAATCCCCGGTACCAAAAAAACAAAAAACAAAAAGCAGTCACCACACCCGCCCTGTGCTCTCTGATAGCTTCCTGTTGTGCTTAGAAGAAATCCCAAACTCTGGATCCTGGAATTCAGGGCCGATCCTTGACCTTCCAACCTCAAAGCCTGAAAACAACAGCCAGTACCTTGACATTACTGTCTGCCCTTCCTTGTTCCCCTAACCCAAGTCCCCTACATGCAACACGGACCAACCACAGGCCTTCCTTATGCAGCTCCTCCTGACTGCAGGGCCTTTGCTCCCTTCCACTGCTCTCCCCGCAGAATGTCCTTCCAAGCACCCCACTTTCAATGCGCTAGAGAATGGTCATCATTCAGGGCTCTGCTGAGTTACTTTCTGGTTCATCACACTTTCTTCTCTTAAGAACATTGATGTTATTGGCAGTGATTGGCCTGGATGATGTGTTATTGCCTGGTATCTCCCCAAGGCAGGACTGTGGTTGATTTGGTTTCCTTGAGCCTAGAACAGTGCCTGGACTATCACAGAGACTCAATGAATGCATGTTGAATGGAGGACTGAATAAAACAGAGTCCTGAGTTCAAATCTCATCTCTACCACCCAGTAGCTTTGTGTCCCTAGCAAGGTCAGGACACCCACAGCCATCCCAGGGCACACAGGCCAGCTCACCTGGAGACACCTCCAGCAGGAAGCCCTCTAGGGGATAGAGGATCCCGGTGGTGTCTCGCATGCACCAATAGCGGCCTGCATCCTGCTGCTTGAGGTTCACCATGGTGATGGTGACTACCTTGGCCTGGACATCATCCTGCATCCTATACCTCGGTCCTGTCACCCAGTGCCGGGGGAACCTGGGCTCGCACTTCCTCTTGTTGATCTTGCACCAGACCTTGCCTTCGACCTGGTTCTTGCGGCTCTTGTAGGAACACTGCACGGAGAGCGTCTCCCCTTCGCGGAGCCGGATTCTCTTGTATGCACTCAGGGCGGGCGGACCTGGGGAGACAGAGCTTGCTGAGCCATCTGGTGAGAGAGGAAGAAGAAGGCATCTGCAGACTCCAGGCACAGGCCCAGTGAGAGGAAGTGAGGACCACCTGCTGTCCAGGAGTGCACGATCCTAGGGGGAAGCACAGCTCTGCCCGCAACAACCACCCATGTGGTGGGGGACACACAGGCCCTGCTAACAGCCAGCTCTCGGCCTGATGTGGAAACTGACACAGCTTCCAGGGGTCCCCAGTCTAAGGCAGGAAGCTTAGCTCTTCCACACCTAGCTCCATTGTCCACACTCCCTTTGCTCATGGTATTTTCAGGACCTCCGGGATTCCCAGTCTTGTGAGAAAGACTAGACTCAGGTCCTGATCTCAGTAAGACAGATGCCCAAGTCGGTACATGCTGGAATTTCAGTGCACAAACAGCTTAGGTAGATATAAAAGTCCAATATTTGAAAAAATGAGTAGTTACTTATTTCCCAAATAAGTTCGCTGTAGTCATCTTTGTTTGTGCTGGGGGTCAAATCCATTCCCCTACTGTAGTCATCTTTTTTTTTATGGTACGAGGGAAAGAACCCCTGAGCTTTGTACATCCTAGGCAAGCACTCTGCTGCTGAGCTATATCCCAGCCCCTTTTATTTTACTTTGAGATAGGGTCTCGTTAAGTTGTCCATGCTGGCCCCAAACTTGCAATGCTCCTGCTACAGCCTCCTGAGTAGCTGGGATGATAGGTGTGCACCACTGTGCCTGGCTTGATAGTCTCTCTTTTCTTTTTTGGGGTACCGGGGATCGAACTCATGACCTTGCGCTTGCGAGGCAGGCGGCAGCAGCACTGAGCTACATCCCCAGCCCTACAGTCTCTGTTTTCAATAGCAAGTTGCCTTAGTTCATTCTAGGTGGTGTTTAAGGTTATAATATTCAAAGTTACATAAAACCCATATATTGAGTATCCTCGGACAGACACGTGAACTGCTGAGAAAGTGAGAACCAGAAGGTTCTACAGCTGTTCACTGCTCTAAGCTGAGTACCCACTCCTTCAACAGTGTCACCCCAGAGCCTTCTACACACACAGAGTCCCTTCGCAGCAGACTAGAATAGAGAACACACATTCTGAAGTCAGAATAAAGGCCTGGCTAAAACCTGGTCTCACCACTCCATGGCAGAGAAGATCACCTGGTATCTCTGTTTCTTCGTCGGTCAAACAAGGTGACTCCCCATGACAGTGGCCTGAGCACAATATGTGCTACTGTGCATGCACACTTCCTTTTCCCAAAAGCAAGTTGCTCCAGATTTCCCCAATGGACCCCAGAGCACCCAAATCAAGGGCCCAGAAGCCTGGAAATCTGCCCCAGTTCCTGACCCAGCTGCCGCTGTTACTGTGGCTCTCAGCAAGGGAACACTGTACTGTCTTTGTCACTCGGTTCCTGGCAACAGAACAGAATGACTCAACTCAATGATTTGATGGATGAACCCAGGGTGTCTTACCCCAGGAGAGACAGTCACCTGGTGTCCTTGTGAAGGCCAGAGGTGGCTGACATTGGGAAGGGTCCCCTTGCAGGTGGTGGAGGGTGGGTTTTGCCAACCCTACCATGCCCAGAACTGAACAGGAAGGGGCAAGCTGGTTGCCATGGCAGCAAGGGAGACAAGAGTGGGTGAGGCCCTGTCCAGGGCCACTGTGGAGAGGGAAAGGCCTTAGGCAATTGGGTCCCTCCAGGACAGGGGCAGGGACCAGAAGTGGCATCAGCCTCCTGGGAAAAACTGAGTTCCAAGGTGCGGTGGCCTGATGCTATGCCTCCCGTTAGAACCAGGCAGAGCTTTCCTGGCAGCACAGGCCGTTTCTGTGAGGAAACTGAGAGGCCCTCATCCGGCTCTGACACAGCCTACCAAAAAAAGGGCCAATACGGAGGGAGCATGGTTCTGGCTGCGTGAGGCCTGGTTGGCAGTGCCTGGGGCAGGTGCCAGCATGGCACATTCTCCCTCCCAACCTCCCCCTCCTCCTGTCCAACCTGCAAAGCATTAGGGCTACTGGGCCAGGGAAGGCAGAGAGGGAAGGATAGGAAAGGCGGCCTTTCCCTCCCTCTTCACTGCCTTGTCCTCTCACCTGCGACACAGGCCTGCACCCACAGCAGCAGAAGCAGGAGCCCCAGGGCCATGGCTCCATCCAGGCAGACGTCACAGGCCCTGCGGGGGGCTGGGTTACTGGGGGGGACCCTAGGTCAGGGCCAGGCTGCTGCAGAACATGCCATCTGCATCCACCAGGGAAGGACACCGGGCTGTGAAAGTGAAGTTGCCCACTTAGAGAAGTGAGGTCCCGGGGACCCAGTGCCACCCGCAGACCGCAGGCCCCACAGCGCCTATCTTAGAGAGGGCGGAGCTGGTGGCTGTTTCCGCCTCTTCCTCAGAACTTGGGCAGGTGTGGCTGTGGCCGCTCCACCCAGGCTGGGGCCCAGCGGGGATGCTTCCTGCCCTCCTGAGTCTCTCCAAAACCTCCCACCTCATTGAGGCAGGAGGCACCTAGGGGACAGGTGTGAGGCTTGCCTGGGATCCTCAGGGCCTGGGTCCAGGAAAGGTCTGGTCACCTGCGTCTCCTCAGCGCTTCACGCTCACTGATGTCACTGCCCACAGCTGCCAATGCTCACTCACTCACACGCCGTCTTAGTTTTGCCTTGCAGGAAGTGCAAACTGTAAGACTCAGCATAAAGTGCAGGTTCAAGGAGGGGCTCCTGTGCTGCCACAAGGGGGCAAGTCCTCTCTCTCTCTCTCTCTCTCACACACACACACACACACACACACACACAGACACACACCCCTCTCCCTGCCTCTCCCTCTTCTCCTACCGTCTCCATCACCTGCCAGCTCCCTCTGGGTGCCCGCTCCCTCCGCCAGGCTTCGGAAAGCCACCTCTTAGCCTCCCCACACCACCTGCTGTCAGCTGCCCGGCCCAGAGCACAGAGCCCCTTCCCCAGCCCTGCCCTGTCAGCGTGCCTTGTGCCCCTCTACTTCCTCCCCTCCGCCCTATCTCTGGGCCACAGCCACCAGGCTCCTGGAAATGACCCAGCATTCCGCTCAAGACCCGCCCTTCGCTTAGTCCCCAGCTGAAGGGAAGGATTGGTTTCGATCCCCAGGGGCAGGTCTGTTGTCTGTGCTACTACTGGCTACAGGGGCCCAGGTGGACCCCATGATTATGTGTGCTCCCTTTCCTTACCTGGGCCATTTTTCCCTTTCTTCCTTTCTTCCTTTTCTGCAGCACTGGGGACTGAACCCAGGGCCTTCACACTGAGCTACATCCTACCCCAGCTCCTTTTTTTTTTTTGGTACTGGGGATCGAACTCGGGACCTTGCACTTGCAAGGCAGGCGGTGGAACCACTGAGCTACATCCCGGCCCTACCCCAGCTCTTTTTATTCTTTGAGGCAGGGTCTCACCAAGCTGCTAAGTGTGCCCAGGCGGGGCTCAAACTCAAGGTCTTCGTGCCTCAGCCTTCCCCTGTGCTCGGGTCACCCTGCCCTATCTCGCTAGCTGGGCTCCCTCTCCCAGGCACTTGTCTGCTGCCCTTCCTGAGCACCTGCCTTGGGTGCTCACCCCCTCAAGCAAGCCTTGCATTTCTCAGCCTCTGCGGCTGCACAGAACCAGCGCTCTGGCTGATTTTAAGACTTTCTCTCAGATTCGGTTCTCAGTCTACTTAGGAAGTGTGTGTTGGCGAGTATGCATTTGGGTTCTTTCTATTTGTGCTCAGATCCATTCTAAGATCTGTATGCTTTCACCTCTTGCCAAGTGTAAGAGATTTTAAGACATCTCTCCCAACACTGTTTCAGGCCCATATCCCTTTCTTTCCAGATCTCTGATAGCGGAATGCTGATATTGGTAATTTAATTTCAAAAATTCTTTTTTATTTTTTTCCTTTTACCTTTTCTTTATAGTATATTAGGGCAAGAGAGTTTTTACTTTTTAAATTTTCTTTTTTTGAAGCAGGATCTCACTATGTAGCCCAGGCTGGCCTCAAACTCACAGTGATCCTCCTGCCTCAGCCTCCCAAGTGCTGGGATGACAAGTGTGTGCCACTATGCCTGGCCTTTACTTTTTTTTTATTTTGTCAAATCTCTGAACCTTTTTTCTCTACGGCTTCTATCTCTCTTGCATTCCTTATGTATCTCCGCCCTCTCAGTTATTTTTTTAGTTATTTAATATTTTCCTACTGCACAGTTGTCATTTTAAGTTCATTTACAGTGTGGAAAGGAGATACAATTTAATTTTCTACAGAGTTAAACATGCTTTGTTTCCATTTGTCAAATGTGAATTGGCTTTCTTTGCAATATACTAAATGTAACTGCATATCTGGACTATTTCTGGCAAGCTAGTCATCTTGATTTACCTCTGGGGTATCCTTACATAGTGAAATCTCTAGTGATTCTCTGATCCTCAAAAAAACAAACAAACCAGGAAATAAAAGGTGAGAACACAGGAAAAATTACCAAGTACTGTGAACTAAAGACAATAACTTGAACAACTATCCTACAGAGAAATAAATGCAGCAATTTATTACAGAGGAAGCAGAAGTGATGGGATGATAATTTAAAGTAGGCCAAATATTCTCAGGGAGATAAGGAGCAGCAGAAATAAGCAATCATGAAAAAGAACAAATTAGAGGTATTGATTATGAATAAGGAAATTGTTGAAATGAGGAACTCTGTAGATGCAACAATGAGCAAGATGAGTTGGTGAGGGAAACATAGCATCAACGGTGACCCCAAAGGCATTAGGGTGGACAAAGTGATGAGGCCAGCATGGGTGAGCTTCATGCTGTCAACTAGCCTGGCTTGACTGGGTCCCACCATATACAATACTGGCTTGAGAGCCACACAGGGGACAGATGGCACATACTCCTAAGTGTGCCTGGTGGGTCATGGAGCTGGGATCTTGGAGACTGTAACTGGTCTGTGCCCTTCCTCTCTGACACCGTTTTCCTGCTCTGCTTCCCAGCTGCCTGTGACTAAGCAGCTCAGCTCTATCATGCCTTCTGCCATGATGTTCTGTCTTGGAACCAGATAACCATGGATGGAATCCCCTTAAAATGTGAGCCACATTAAATCTCTCCTCCTTTAAATTGCAGGTGGCAGGTATCATGTCCCAGAGCCTGGAAAGCTAACTAATATAAAAGCATAAAAAAATTAAGAGGTATGCAGGATAAAAATGGAAACATCAGCACCTCCTCAAAGAAGTTCCAGAAGGGGGAAAAAAAGAGTAAATGGAGGAGAACTATTTAAAAAATAATAATGAGAATTTCTCAGAATTAAAGAAATGCATTGCATCAGACTGAATGTATTGAGAGAGTTAAAAATAGAATGAATAATTAAATCCCTTGCATTAAGACACATCATCAAATAAAACATATAAAATGTTCCAGAGAGATAGAATAGGTCAGTTAAGATAAAGAAAAATCAGATTAATATCAGAATTTCCCATCACAACAGTGGAAGTAAGAAGATGTAAGAATATGCTCAAATGTTTGAAGAAAAATAACTCAGATGTTTATTTACAATGTTTTCAAACTTATCACAAGTTTGAAAATGTGGTGAAGAGAAGACACTTAGAAGTCACGGATGTAAAGGTAAAATGTTTAAAAGCAGGGCCGGGGATTTAGCTCTGTGGTGCCGCTGCCTGCCTCGAAACCACAAGGTCCTGAGTTCGATCCCCAGTACCAAAAAAAAAAAAAGTTTAAAAGCTATAGCCAAGTTCCCTCTCTTAGCATCTGAACTGATAAAGATATATCTTTATTCTATCTACTTTTATCCCATTGCTAATATGCTCTAAGCAATCTAGGTGTTTCTGTACTGTAAGTGTGAATTTGTCCCAACCCACTGCAGCTGTGTAAGTTTAATAAATCAAGAAAGGGTCTTGTCATGTAGCCTATACCTGTAGTCCCAGCTACTCAGAAGCTGGGACTTGAACTCGTGATTTCAAGTGATCTCCTGCCTCAGGCAAGAGATCCCGCGCTTTCTGTGAATCTGTAGGAAGCACACAGCACCACCTATCAGCTGGTCTTGCCAAAAAATGAGGAAAGTAGGATGTGAGAATAAATATAGCTAAGACCAGCCCATAGGTGGTGCTGTGTGCTTCCTACAGATGCACAGAAAGCACATGCTCTCTGCTTGTCTTAAGAGGTTCCGGCAGCATTAACCTCATGTCCAAGACCCTACAACCCAGCTCATCTCACCTAAGTATATATTCTAAAGTCTCCCATGATTCCATCAGAGAACACATTGGAAGACATCCATGGCAGCATGGCTGCAATATGGAGAGGTGAAGGCCAGCCCACATCAGTACCCTGGTTCCACGTGGTGCAGTTGGGGGTGGGGGGGTGTGCACACAGTAGAGTGTGAGCTGCAGCCTGGAAAGCAGCAGCCTGGGTGTGCACCCAGTAGTGTGTGCAACAAGTGTGTGAAAAAGGTATAGCACCAGTTCTTTAGTGCAAATGAAAAATAGAGCCACAGAAAAATAATACTGCCTGTTTCGTAAGGACACATTCAAATTCATGATTATACAGCAAATGCTTTAGAGTAGTTGCCTTGAAAACGGGACATGTGAAAGTAGAAAATGAGGATAAAATGAATAAATAAGAGATGAAGAAAAGTGGTATGTGCATAGAAGACCATGGGGCTCTAGTTGAAATATATGTGAAGAAATGTTTATATTATACACACACACACACACACACACACACACACACACTCACGAAAAGGAAATGGTTTGTATTGTCCAGGCTGTGCTCTTGGTGGTGGCCTTTTCATGGCTGGCATCCAGCTGGCACACACTGGTCCCTCCAGGGGGTCACTGTTCTCAGTGGCAAATGCCCGGGCCTCACTGGACATTAAATGTTCTGAATGTGACCCTAGGCTGTTTTTGTTTTATGGATGTAATATCTTCTTCTACTCCCTAAAACATTTCCCTTTCACTTCTACCCAATTATTTTGTTTTATTCAACTTAATTTTCGCCTTTAGGCTATGAATCTACTTATATGTTGAACAAACAGAAAATTGGATCTTGGTTGTCAGATCTTACTTGTGGATGACCGATTTTAATTGCATCTGAGTCTTTCTTGAACTTCTAAGAATTCATTTTTCAGTCTGCTGATCACTGCCTTTCTTAATTTCAATTTCATCATTTATTTTAAAGCCATTTTTATCTCAGGTTAAGATACCTGGGATGGGAGGACTGGAACCCAAGGGGATCCACTCACAGATCTTACTCAGCTGCCCCTGACAAAGTTCAGTGCAAGGCGTAGAGTTTAAGCACAAGAAGGAATACATAGAGGTACAGTATTGCAGAGTCAGGCAAAGGCAGGAATCCTGGTGTCGGGTTGAGGCAAGTGGAAGGATGCAAGATCCCTGGGAAGGAAGGAGCATGCGTGCAGTAGGGGGAAGATGCTGGGCAGGGCACTGGGTCACAGTGGAAAGCGCTGACCCGGATGTAGATAATCGCAGCCATGGGCGGTCAGTTTGAGGGCAGGGCAGCGGAATTGGATCTTACACTGCTCTATACAGGATAAGTGGATCTTAGAGTGCTCTATATCACTGATGATGGGGGGCTGGGAGTTATCTCCCCGGGTTTGGGTACTGCCTTTCATCAGGGGCAGGAGAATAGGTGTTCCTTCTGTGTCCAGGGAGATGGCCGAATGCACCCAAGGGCTTTGGGGCCTGGATGAAGCTGGTGTAATCAGAAACCTGCAGCAATTCTGTGACCCTGGGGAAGGGGGATGAGTAGGAAACTCGTAAATTAAAGTGAGCCCTTTTCTCTGCTCCTCTTCCCTGCCTCTTGTCTTACCCTGGCCCATTTCCTAATCTCCTCTCCCACTTCCTTCTCCCCTCCCCCTGCTTCCAACCTGCCCCTTCTTCCAGACGCCACCCTGCTACTCTCTGCTTTCTCCTCCTGCCCCCTGAGGATGAGGGCCCGGGAAAGCCCCTCTTTCCCTGAGGTCTGTTTCTTAAGGAAAACCAGAAGAGATTCCAGGACATAATGACCATTTCAATTACATCTGGCTGCGACGTTCTGAACTACCTTCCTCCCGCCATCTTTCCTGGCTTGGAAGCTGGCCCAGCTGCATGGACCCCAGACCCAGCGCAGCCATTCACCCTGCAGCAGCACCTGCAACACAGAACCGTGCACAGGGCTGACAGCAACAGACCCTTGACCGCCAGGAGTCCACCCTGCAGGAGGAACAGGAGCTCGGGGGAAGCAGCATCTGGGGGGAAGGGGCCACTGGAGTTACTGGAAGTGGGGAGAGAGAGGAGGGCGGGGGTGTCACCTGTTCCTCTCTCCCCTGGGCAGGGAGGGGCAGCCAGCACCCTCCCCGACACCCTCCCCAAGAGCCATCAGCCTGCCTGGGTCCCACCAGCATCCTTGCTCTGCCAGTGGAAAAGGAGAAGGGAGCATTTCATGGTTGTATTATTAACAGGTGTGAGCCTTAACTCCTATGCCTTTCAGATTTCCTCTCCTCTAACTGCCTGTAGCGGGCTTTGCCCATCTCTGCAGGATTCCAGCCTTTTTCCTGTGGAGACTCTAGGTAGTACTGCTGTGCTTGTTTTAGACATTTGCAATTCATTTTCCCCACTCTGTTACCTGCTTGAGAACTTTTCCAGTAGTGTTATTCATTGGATAAAATTTCTTGTTCCTGATGTAACTGATTTGCTTTGATTGTTTTTGTCCCTAGGGTTGGTGTCTTGAAAGTTTTGTGTAAGAAGTCCTTCCTCAGCCTTAGGCCACCAGATATTCACCTGCAGTATTTTTTTCTTTTGTATTGTTTTTTTCCAATTTTCATTTTGTATTAGTACCTTGAGACCATAATGTGAAGTCAAGTAAGTCAGACTTTTGAGCTTAATAGAGCATGGTTTCTCTTATCTAAGAAACCCCAGGTATAAATAAAGAGCAAAATAACAGATGATGGGATGTAGGGAGATAGAGCTTCTGCAATATTTTTTTCTAAGGACTTCATTTTATGTTTCACACACACACACACACACACACACACACACACACACCCTGAATCTAGCTGGAGTCCATCTTTGTCTGTAATTAGATAATTAGATAGGGATCCAATTTTGTGATTCATTTTTCATTTTTTAAAACATGTTGTGCTTGTTAGCTCAAGAATGTCTTCCAAATAATAGGTTCCTTACCTCACTGATTCCTGGGGCTGCCTTATTCTAAGGCACATTTCTGGGTTTATACTGGTCTGTCAGGAACCTTCAGCATGGCCTACCAATCCCTGCATTCATTTGCACACCAGCCTACACCGGTATCAGTTGTATTGCTTAATATTTAGTAGGACAAGTCCTTGCTTATAGTTTTACTTTTTCGTGGTAGCTACTCATGCATCTTTATTTTTCCACATACTTTTAGAGTAAATTGATCAAATTCTTTTAAAAAATTGAACTCAAGGGCCAGGGATGATTTCGCTCAGTGGTTTCACCGCCTGCTGCGCAAGCGCAAGGTCCAGAGTTCGATGCCGTGTACCAAAAAAAAAAAAAAAAATTGAACTCAAGTTGTGATTGGAATTACATTTAGAGCCTTTGATTTGGGGGAAATTGAAGTCTTTATAATATTATTGTCTCATCAAAGATCATGGATTATTTCTATTTATTCAGATCACCTGTGTCATTTATTAGCATTTTAAGGTTTTCTACAAAGAGATTTTGGTTAAATTACTTCTTTCTAGAAACTCTTGGGTTTTTTTTTTTAGTGAATGGAATTTTATTTTATTTACATTTTGCTAAACGATTACTCTTAAGTGGAAAATCACTTTTGTTTTGGGGGAACAGGTGGATGATGTCTCACTGTGTTGCCCAGGTTGGCCTTGAACTCACAATCTGCCTGCCTCAGCCTCCCGAGTAGCTAGGATTACAGGTGTGAGTCACCATACCCATCTTTTTTAAATGTTTGCCAGTTGATCCTGAATCTGTCAGCCTTGCTAAGCTCTTTCATGAGATCTAATATTCATTGATTCTGCTTTTTCTTTTTTTAATATGGATGATCCTGTCATCTGCAAGTGTAGTTTTTACAATTCTTGTCTTCTTTCCTCGTATCTACTTTCTTCTAGCACTGGCCAGGACCTCTATACTAACCATTAGTAGTAGCTGTAAGAATCCTTAATTTGTATTTATATTTTTCCACTTAGTAATAATTTATTGTAATCATTGACATACAATCTTTACCAAGTTTTATCTTCCTATTTCTATTTTATGGCGTTTTCCCCTTATAATATAGATGTATTGAACTTTTCCAAATGCATTTTCTACAGCAGTTGAATTTTTCCTGTACATTTTTATTACTTATTAATTAATTATTAGATTTACTCCATTTACTTTGATAGGTTTTCTATGGCTGAATGACCCTTTCAGTCCTGAAATACACCCCACCAAATCACACTGATCGTGGCTCCCTCTTTTCTGATACACTTTGAGCTCAGTCAGCTGGCATTCATTTTTGCTTTTGACTTCATGCCCAGCATGAACCTGTAATTTAATTTTCTTGTGTTATCTATAGCCAGTTTTGAGGCACTAGCCTCTCCAAATGCACTGACAGCTGTTATGTCTGTGTCTAGACATCCCCGCAAAGCCTCATGCGGTCATAAGTGGGGCTTTTCAGAGGTTGCTGGATGTACAGTGTGTGATGCTAGGATCAAGGGTGTGTGATTACTTAATTATACTTAATTAGTCCACTGGATTGGTTTGGCATAGTTTAGGTGTTAATAATGGGTGTCCCTCCCTGGGCATGAGTGCTACCTGCCCCAAAGGCGTGTACCTTGGACAGACTATAAGGGCCAGAAAGAGGGCTGCTGCCATCACTTGTTGCTTACTGCTTGCTGCTTCACTAGTGCACTGCTTGCTGCCTTCTGCCTGCCAAGAACCCTTTCTCTGTGATGCCCCTTTGCCAGGGCACCCCACCTTGGAGCCAGCCAGCTACGGACTGAAACCTCTACAAACTGTGAGCCAAATAAACCTTTCCTCCTTTAATTTTGGGTGTTGGGTATTTTGTCTTAGCAACAAGAAAAGTAACTAAGACAATAGCTTTTGCTTCTTTTCTATTTGTGCAAAATCCTGCATAAAACATGAATCAA